CACACACACACACACACACACACACACACACACACACGTGTAAAAATGCACAATATTTAGAACATAGTCTCTGCAGCAGCCACCAGTCATACTTGCCAACCTTGAGACCTCAGAATTAGGGAGACATTCAAAAGGGATGTTGGGTGGGGGAGTGGTATACATATACATATATATACAGAAAATTAGAATTTTACAATGTTTATTTATTGGATAAAATAAGTTAAATGTCACTGTTAATACTGTCCAGCCGGAAACAGCGGGGCTGTCCAAATTCAGAGGCTGCGTCCACCTGAGGACCCGGCCTTCGCGGACTACAGAAAGCCGGCTAGACCGGAAATGAGCGACTGTGAAATTGGACGGTCTAGCCTTCAGAATTACGTCACGAGCTCTCTCGGTGGAGTGAAACTCTGCTGTCTGCTCCTTGTTATCTAAAATATAACCGGACGCTGGCGTAAATTTTCGAAAAGTTTATTTTGCGACCCAGAATGAGTAATAAGAGTAATATTAAAACTAAGTAGCTGCAGTAGTAGAAGCCATTGTTGGAAACTGGAATTGACCGGCCCAATCTGGGGTTTTTCAATTTTGTTGTCCGGGTGGAAAATCGGGAGAATGGTGGCTCCGGGAGATTTTTGGGAGGGGCACTGAAATTCGGGATTCTCCCAGAAAAATCGGGAGGGTTGGCATGTATGCCACCAGTATCAAAAGCAAATTTATACACTGTTGATGGAATATTAGAATTTCTGCTTCTCAGCCTAGAAACTCAGATCACAAACTACAGCTGATAGTTTCTCTTTGCCAGCATTAGAAGAACTTGTTTGATGGCACTCAACGGATTGATCAATAATTAGAACAATGTGAAAGTCCAAGGAACTCAGTGAAGATCTAAGAAGGAGAATTGTGGATTTACCAGAGTTAGGAAGGTCTCTTGGAGTCATTTCTAAAGAGATTCCAACATCACCAGTTCAAACAACTGTATCAAAGTTCACATTATTTTTATGTGTCACCACTAGGGCTGGGCCATATCATAACATTCATGGTAATACAGTTATAATGTTGGGCAACGATAAGAAAATGAAATATCATGATATAATATGGGTAAAATACGCATGCACAGTGCCTTCCCCCCCCCCCATACGCACATGGCGGAAAAAGCATAGCGGCGACAGAGAATGAGAAGGGCGAAAGCAGATCGTTGAATGAAACGGATGAACCAGAATTGGTTTGTAAAAATGCAACTTCAGTGGTGTGGCACTGGTTTGGCTTTCTTCTGTCAGATACACACCAGAGCACATTTTTTGGTAGAGCATGCTAGCGGGCCGTCGTTATTACCGTGTTTTTCGGAAAATACGGCACACTTAAAATCAATCCTTATAATCTTTATAATCCTGTGTGCCTTATGTATGAATTCTGGTTGTGCTTACTGACTTCGAACTGATTTTATGTGGTACACGGTGCTCAGAAATTTGTCAAAAAATGTTTTAGTACGACTTTCGGAAGCTACAAAGCCGCACTGCTTGATGTCAGAGCATTACGGCTACCGTAGTCGGGAGCCTCGCGGAGTAATACGTACTGTGCTTCAACATAATATTACCGTATTGTGTGTGTATAACCTCTTTTTAAGTTTTGTGGATATTATACATGGTTATGCTGAGGATATGTTGGCCAGTTTCCATTGGAAATGCCTTTTGGTTAAACTGTCAGCAAGGAATTTGGATTTGGACTGTTACATTTTTATATAACTTTAATGCACATAAAAAACAGCTGCTTGTTTAAGTGAAAATACATTGATGGGGTTTTTTTGCACTAATAAAGTTGTGGAGTTGTAAAGTATTTTGTCTCGTGTCAATTATATCCTCAGTTATATCGTTATCGCAAATTTTCAAATATATATTGTGATAAATATTTTTGGCCATATTGCCCTGCCCTAGTCACCACTTTGCCAGGGTCTGAAAGAAGACCCAAACTGTCACGCTCAGATGAGAGGAAATTGGTTTGGATGTTCAGGAACAACACAGGGACCACCAAGGCTCAACACTGCCATGAACTGGAAACTGCTGGAACATCAGCATCAGTATCCACCGTGAAATGAGTTGAAACTCAAAATGGACTGAAAGGGTGCAGAGAAAGAAGTCTTTGACCCAAAACTGACACCTCCAGCTTCACTGAAATATGCAGCTAACCACATGGACAAGCCGATTGCCTTCTGGGGAACAGTTTCCTGGTTAGATGAGGCAGAGGTTCAGTCCTGTGTCCAACATGACAAGGGGTATGCTTGGAGGAAAAAGGGGAGACTTTCAAATTTCACTAGCCCAGCTGTCAAGCATGGTGGTGGCATCATCATGCTCTGGGGCTCCATACAGTT